TGACGCCAGGAGTCACGGACAGAAGGATGGGAAGCGCCTTGCAGAGGGAGCGCGGGAGGCGGCCCCACTGTGCCTGTCAGCTCCAGGGTGGTGGGGCGGTGGCCTGCGGACGCCCTGCCTGAGCGCTCTTGTGGGGGGAGCAGAAACAGCCCCTGGCCCCTGCAGCAGCTGCAACGGGACGTGAAAGGGAGGTTCCTGTTGCCCGCAAAACCACAGGTCCCGCACATACTGCTGTCTGGGCATGAGGCCTACTACATCCAGCGTGCAGGCAAGGCCCCATGTCGGGCAGAGACGTGCACCCCCATGTGGTGCCTCCTGAGCGGGGCGCCCTGTTGGCGCCTCGCCAGCTGCCTCCCCAGGGGCGAGGCCAGGCTGAGAACCAGGCCCCGTGGAGCTGGCCTGCCAGGGAGGACCGCCGTGCCCGGGGTGGGGGGAGAGGAGCTAGGTGTGCAGGGGCCACCCACCCCAGGCCTGAGGGAGCAAAGCCCCAGGTCAGGAACGCGTCAGCCTGTCTCAGCAACGAGAAGAGCCCGTGAGCCGGGCTGGGGTAAAAGGAGAGGCTGGGATGAGATGGGGAAACTGAGGCAGGAGCAGGCATGGGGAGAACGGGGATGTCCAAAGAGCCCCGAGGCAACAAGGCCTCTCCCAAGCAAACAAGGCCTCTCCCCTCGGCTGCCCTGTGGACCGGCTGAGCCCATCCCCTGCCAGCCATGGGATTCCAGCATGACTGAAGAGGCAAGAGGCAAGGCCTGGTTGGCTCCAGCCCCTGGCCCAGGCCCAGGACAAGGGGCAGGGCAGCCCTGCGGTGGGGCAGGGGAACGAGGTGTGAGTGTGGGGGCTGGGCCCCTGTCATCAAAGGGCTGAAATTCCTGCCACCTGCATTAGGAGGGACATGCAGGAGGGTGGGCTTTGGGGGCAGGCCTGCAAGAGATGAGAGCAGAGCAGACGGAGATGTGGGGCCCCAGAGGTACCCACCTGTCTGGACAGAAACTTGTCTCGGGGTCCCCTCTGGGAACCAGAGGCCCCCTCTCCCCACACTGCCCCAGGAAGGCTTAAAGGGGACAAAACTTCCTGCAAGCAGGTGCCGGACGTTGAGGGCCTCAGCTAAATGATGACCTGGAGGAGCCCAAGATAGCGAGACCGCGGCTAGAGACCAGGAAGCGCCGGTGTCCTGGGGGCGGGGTGGGGCTGGAGGAAGGGCAAAGGTTCTGGCAACCGGCTAGCTGGGGCCAAGTTCCTGGGGCCAAGTTCCGAGGGCCTCCACCCCAGCCTCCCAGCCTCCTGATCTTCTGTGGGCTCACAGGCTCTCTCAGCCCGCTTAGCCGCCGTGAACAATGCCCACCTCTCAGGTGCCATGCACAGAGCTGCATGAGGGGCCTGCCAGGCCGGGGGACCCGCGGGGAGTGAGCATCTCCACCCCCCACCCCCCCACGCCCCCCCTCTCCTGCCTCTAGCCCTTTGCTGCAGCTAGTCCTTCAGTTCCTTGGGTGGGCGGGCTTCCTGTTCAGCATCCTTGCGTCTGACCTGGTCCTCGGCCTGCGAACCCCCAGAGGTGAGGAGCTTGACCCCAAGCCCCCGCCAGGCCCCCACCGCAAGTCAGGTTGGAGGTGAGAATCTGGGCTTGGGGCCTCAAGTTCCACAGCAGGCTGCACAGCCCTCTAGCCAGCTCACCTCGCCCCCTCCTGGCAGAAGCTGGGCAGGCGCCCCCTTCATCATCCGTCTCCAGGGTGTCCCATTCCGGAACTCCAGGAAAGAGGGGCAGGGAGGCCCTCGGTCCCCAGGTAACCTCAGGTGAGCACCTGGGCCTCAGTTTCCCCAGGTAACCGCCTGGCACGTCCTTGCTCCCTGACGACGGATCCTTCCCCTGATGTGCCCCATACCTGTCTGGCCTGGGCTGAAGATGCCCCCTTTTCCCAAGAATCAAGAGGAAGGTAAATTCCTTTATCTAGGGGCGGGTACACATGAATTATTCTTTTTTCAACTGTGTGTGTATCTTCCATACACTCCTTCCTGCCCGTATTTTTTCACAATTTTTTAAATTTCAAAGAAAGCTTCTGAAGACACAGTGACCACTTGCAGAATCTGGCCGGGGATTGGCTCCCTGGGAGTGGGGAGCCAGCATCACCGGAAGGTTCTGCGCCTCTCCCTGGAGATACAGACCCTGAGGGCACTTTGCATGAGCATTTGTGGTACATGCAGGGCAGGAGAGACCCCCAAACATGTCCATGGAGGGCCAGGAGGGATGAGGGCCTTGGGGACAGATGCTGAGGTGCAGACCACCAGCTGGTTCATTCATGAGTGGTGAGATCTGGGGGAGGCTGGGACTGCCAGGTGCGTCCGCAGGGTCTGGCTCACAAGGTCAGGGGGCCATCAGCCTCTCAGAAGATGAGGGCATCACTGTTTGGGGGTGGAGGAGGGCCTGAGGAGGACCGGGCAGCCGGTAGGATCCCAGCTGCCCCAGTCCAGGGAGGGGGCCCTGCCCAAGGGGAGCAGGTGGGCGAGGGGGGCAGGGGGGCGCAGGAGGCTGCTGGGCAGGCCTTCTCTGCCAGGCAGGCCCCTGGGCCCAGGTGATGGCCTTGCTTTGTGCCCTCACAACACACGGGTTTGGGGAGCCCCTCCAGCAATCTCAACAAGCCCTCTCGGATGTGGGACCCCTCAAAGCAGCACGAAGGTGGGGGAGGGAGCCCGGGTGGCAGAAAGGAGGCGGGCCCGGGGTGGGCAGGAGGGCAGAGTAAGGTCCTACATGGAGTCCAAGCCCCTCACGCCGCTGCGTGGGCAGGGCCTCCCGTGGCCCGGGCCTGTCCCCGCCGCCCGCCGCCCGGCCCCGGCCCCGGCCCCTGGCTCCCAGCCCGGCGCCTCACCCTCGGCGGCCATGTAGGACCTTACTCTGCCCTCCTGCCAACCCCGGGCCCGCCTCCTTTCTGCCCCCCGGGCTCCCTCCCCCATGGAGCCAAGCCCTGAGCCTGGACACCGTGGAGAGGGGCCCCGACTGTCCGCGTCTCCCTTCTGATCAGCCCAGGGAGGTTCCCCCGGAGGGGGTTCCTCCTTCCAGTTTGCCAGGATCTGGGCTCTTGGCGACCCCGGGGGTAGCGCTGTCCCCTGCCCGGCTGGGCTCCTGCTCCCCCGGGTGGGCTCCTCGGGCGCGCAAGGGGCTGCGTGGGTCACGCCGGTACTCAGGCCACCTACTGGTGGCCACGATTTCCCCACCTGGGGTTGGCGCCCGGGGAAAGCGACCGCGGCCCACTGGTCCGCCGGGACCTGCCGGGTCTCGCGGCGACCGCCTGGTCAAGAAGGGGACAGGCAGCCTCTCATGCACCCTGGCGCCGCCTCTCCCCAGCCGCCGCGTCCAGCCCCGCCTCAGTCTCTGCATCTGCAAAATGGGTAGGTGGGGGTGGGTGGGCCCAACACCGCGCGGTCCGGGAGGAGCGCGGCGCAGGCGCAGGCGGACTCGGTCCCGACGAGTGCAAGCGGGTGCGCACGCGCAGCGGCGTGAGGGGCGCGGCCCAGGGCGGGGCGGAGTCCCTGTCCCCGCGCGCTCGCCCCAGCCCAGAGTCTGCGCGTGCGCGCTGTGGCGGGGAGGGGCGGGGCCGCAGGCGGGCCCGCCCCGTTCCCCAGCGTTCCCCGCGGCAGCAGGCACTGACGTGGCCGCCGTCAGAGCCGCCATCTTGTGGGAGCGAAACCAACGCCTGGCTCGGAGCAGTAGCCTCGCCGCGGCCGCCGAGGGTGAGGCGCTGGGCCGGGAGCCAGGGGCCGGGCGGCGGGCGGCGGGCGGCGGGCGGCGGGGCCAGGCCCGGGCCACGGGAGGCCCTGCCCACCGCGGCGGCGGGGCGGTGAGGGCCGTGGTGAGGCTGGGCCGGGCCGGGCGGGGGCCGAGGGAGGCTGGGGCGGTGAGGCCCGAGGCCCGGCCGGCGGCCGCGGCTGGCCCGGGGGCCGAGGCGGGGCCGGGGGTCGAGACTGGGGAGGGGGTCGAGTCGAGGCGGAGGTCGAGCCTGGGGTGAGGGTCGAGGCGGGGAGGGCGCAGAGGGCTGGGCCGGGGGTCCAGTGGAGGCCGGGTCGAGGCGGGGGAAGGGGCCCGCCACCGGGCCTGGGGTCGAGGCGCAGGGGTGGGGGCCGGGGCTGGGGCGGGGGCTGGGAGCCAAGACCCGGCCGGGAGCGGGAGCGGGGCCGGGGCGGGGGCGGAGGCCGGGGCCCGGGGCGGTCGCACCGCCGGGCCCCCGAGCCTCTCGCCGCGGTCTCGCGCCCCTCAGAGCCGCCGGCGTGGACGCCCGGAAGTCCGGCCCGGGCCGCGGGCGCCCCAGGAAGCTGTGCTTCCTGCTCCGCCTGCGAAGCCTCCCGCGTCGGGGTCTCGAGGACCAGGAAGCTGGAGCTCGCGGCCCGGGACGCCGCCAAGGTCACGCGCTGGCCGGGGTTTGAGCCCAGTTCCTGTTGGCTCGGAGGACTGGGGTGGGGCGGGGCCCGCGTTCCCGGACCGGCGCGGCGGGGCGGGGTCCCGGGGTCCGAGCGGGGGCGCCTGGGCCCCGGGAGGCTCCGTCCGCCCGCGGCGGTGCAGGGCCCCCTCGTCGGCACTTGCCGCGACCGGCAGTACTTCGGGCTTTCGTCCTAGCTGGTGAGCGTCCGATGCACCTGTAGAACGGCTCGTCGGGGTCGGGCTGCCGCCCAGCCCTGCGCCCCAGCGCTTACGTCGCACGGTCGGGGGGCTGGCGGGCGTGTGCAGTGTAGCCGGTTCATGCCCAGCCCTTGGCGGCCGCGGGGGTCGTTCACACTGCCCTGTGAGCTGGGTGGCACCGTCCCGTCTCCTCAAGCCGAGTTGCCGTCTTCAGTGCTTGCGCGCACTTGCCCGAGAAGCCGGCGGCAGGAAGGGGTGCGGGCTCCAGCCTGGCCCCGAAGGCGAGAGCCGCGTCCTCTCGTGCGCCTGCCGCCCCGCGGCCAGCTGCAGTTCTGCTTCCGGAGCTGGGAGTGCGCGGTCCGCGCTGCCGCTGCCGCTGCCGCTGCCCCTGCCCGCAGCTGGCATGGCTGGGCCTGCGCCTCGGCTGTGTGCGTAGCCCTGCCGAGACCCACCGCCCCCGGCGCGTCCCCTGCGGGGCTGCCGGGCGTGTGCTGCTGTCACGTAGGCTTTTCCCCAGCACACGAGCGGCCACGTCTGCCGCCAGCTGGGTCCCGCATGGAAGGGAGCTGAGTGTCACTTCGTGGGAGCGTCCTGTCGTCCTGCAGAGGTGCGTCTTGTTAGAGCGGGCTGCACGGACGCGGGCCTCCTCCGCGGCGCCTTCGGGACGTCCCTTGGTCCTCACGCCTGTTTCCGCGGAGGGCTGCCTTCACAGATACCACCTGAAAAGACCTGCAGTAGTGGGTTCGGATAACGGCCGCCTCACACGTTGTCCGATCACCTTTAAAAGAAAGTTAGCGGAAAGCAGGAGCGGGTTGCGCGCTCCTCGTGGGTCGAGCTGTTGGCCGTGTCTCTTCCACAAGACGAAGAGGACATCCTGGCTCGCTAGGCCGCCGCTCCCAGCGCCTGGACGGGCTTGCAGGTACGGGAGGGCACCGTCCGGCTCTCCTGCTGGCTTCAGTAGGCCTTGGTGTGGGGCCTCTGCTGCTGAGACCGTCTCCGCTCGGGGCTCACCCGTGCAAGCTCATGGACAGTGTAGGAACTTGGCTTGAGAAAGTCCAGTCCGTTTTCTGCGGGCTCTTTCAAACGAGGATGGCCCCGAGAACGTGAAGTTCAGTCTGCTCTTCAAGTGTGCCGTTCCTTCCTTGGCTTCCTAAGATTAGGTAAGAGCTTAGGTCTTGTGCTCCATCTGCTCCTCCCTGGTGTGGAGGGTGTTCAGTCTCTTAGAAACGATTTGGACCCGGTAGTGGTTCGTACGTAACTCTGTCTAGTGGCAAGGAAAGGACAGCTTTGCGAATGTGTGCGAGAGAAAGTGTGATATTGAGTATATGAGTGTGTGGGGGGGGAGGGGTGGGGAGTCCAGAGTGTGAGTGTGTGTGTTTGGGGGGGAGGAGGGTGAGTCCAGAGTGTGAGTGTGTGTTTTGGGGGGACGGGTGGTGAGTCCAGAGTGTGAGTGTGTGTGTTTGGGGGGGGAGGAGGGTGAGTCCAGAGTGTGAGTGTGTGTGTTTGGGGGGGAGGGGTGGTGAGTCCAGAGTGTGGGTGTGTGTTTTGGGGGGACGGGTGGTGAGTCCAGAGTGTGAGTGTGTGTGTTTGGGGGGGAGGAGGGTGAGTCCAGAGTGTGAGTGTGTGTGTTTGGGGGGAAGGAGGGTGAGTCCAGAGTGTGAGTGTGTGTTTTGGGGGGACGGGTGGTGAGTCCAGAGTGTGAGTGTGTGTGTTTGGGGGGGAGGAGGGTGAGTCCAGAGTGTGAGTGTGTGTTTGGGGGGAGGGGTGGTGAGTCCAGAGTGTGAGTGTGTGTGTTTGGGGGGGGTGGTGAGTCCAGAGTGTGTGTTTGGGGGGAGGGGTGGTGAGTCCAGAGTGTGTGTGTTTGGGGGGGAGGAGGGTGAGTCCAGAGTGTGTGTGTGTTTGGGGGGGAGGAGGGTGAGTCCAGAGTGAGTGTGTGTGTTTTGGGGGGACGGGTGGTGAGTCCAGAGTGTGAGTGTGTGTGTTTGGGGGGAGGGGTGGGGAGTCCAGAGTGTGAGTGTGTGTGTTTGGGGGGGAGGAGGGTGAGTCCAGAGTGTGAGTGTGTGTGTTTGGGGGGGAGGAGGGTGAGTCCAGAGTGTGAGTGTGTGTTTTGGGGGGACGGGTGGTGAGTCCAGAGTGTGAGTGTGTGTGTTTGGGGGGGAGGAGGGTGAGTCCAGAGTGTGAGTGTGTGTTTGGGGGGAGGGGTGGTGAGTCCAGAGTGTGAGTGTGTGTGTTTGGGGGGGGGGTGAGTCCAGAGTGTGTGTTTGGGGGGAGGGGTGGTGAGTCCAGAGTGTGTGTGTTTGGGGGGGAGGAGGGTGAGTCCAGAGTGTGAGTGTGTGTGTTTGGGGGGGAGGAGGGTGAGTCCAGAGTGTGAGTGTGTGTGTTTGGGGGGGAGGGGTGGGGAGTCCCGAGTGTGAGTGAGTGTGTTTGGGGGGAGGGGTGGTGAGTCCAGAGTGTGAGTGTGTGTGTTTGGGGGGAGGGGTGGTGAGTCCAGAGTGTGTGTGTTTGGGGAGAGGAGGGTGAGTCCAGAGTGTGAGTGTGTGTGTTTGGGGGGGGGGTGAGTCCAGAGTGTGAGAGTGTGTGTTTGGGGGGGGAGGAGGGTGAGTCCAGAGTGTGGGTGTGTGTTTTGGGGGGACGGGTGGTGAGTCCAGAGTGTGAGTGTGTGTGTTTGGGGAGAGGAGGGTGAGTCCAGAGTGTGAGAGTGTGTGTTTGGGGGGAGGGGTGGTGAGTCCAGAGTGTGAGTGTGTGTTTGGGGGGGTGGTGAGTGCAGAGTGTGAGTGTGTGTGTTTGGGGAGAGGAGGGTGAGTCCAGAGTGTGAGAGTGTGTGTTTGGGGGGAGGGGTGGTGAGTCCAGAGTGTGAGTGTGTGTTTGGGGGGGGGTGAGTCCAGAGTGTGAGTGTGTTTGGGGGGAGGGGTGGTGAGTCCAGCGTGTGAGTGTGTGTGTTTGGGGGGAGGGGTGGTGAGTCCAGAGTGTGAGTGTGTGTGTTTGGGGGGAGGGGTGGTGAGTCCAGCGTGTGAGTGTGTGTGTTTGGGGAGGGGTGGTGAGTCCAGCGTGTGAGTGTGTGTGTTTGGGGAGAGGAGGGTGAGTCCAGAGTGTGAGAGTGTGTGTTTGGGGGGAGGGGTGGTGAGTCCAGAGTGTGAGTGTGTGTTTGGGGGGGGGTGAGTCCAGAGTGTGAGTGTGTTTGGGGGGAGGGGTGGTGAGTCCAGAGTGTGAGTGTGTGTGTTTTGGGAGAGGAGGGTGAGTCCAGAGTGTGAGTGTGTGTGTTTGGGGAGAGGAGGGTGAGTCCAGAGTGTGAGTGTGTGTGTTTGGGGGGGGAGGAGGGTGAGTCCAGAGTGTGAGTGTGTGTTTGGGGGGAGGGGTGGTGAGTCCAGAGTGTGGGTGTGTGTGTTTGGGGGGGGTGAGTCCAGAGTGTGAGTGTGTGTGTTTGGGGGGGGAGGAGGGTGAGTCCAGAGTGTGAGTGTGTGTTTGGGGGGGTGGTGAGTGCAGAGTGTGAGTGTGTGTGTTTGGGGGGGGTGAGTCCAGAGTGTGAGTGTGTTTGGGGGGAGGGGTGGTGAGTCCAGCGTGTGAGTGTGTGTGTTTGGGGGGAGGGGTGGTGAGTCCAGAGTGTGAGTGTGTGTTTGGGGGGAGGGGTGGGGAGTCCAGAGTGTGAGTGTGTGTGTTTGGGGGGAGGGGTGGTGAGTCCAGAGTGTGAGTGTGTGTTTGGGGGGGGTGGTGAGTGCAGAGTGTGAGTGTGTGTGTTTGGGGGGGGGTGAGTCCAGAGTGTGAGTGTGTTTGGGGGGAGGGGTGGTGAGTCCAGCGTGTGAGAGTGTGTGCGGGGAGGGGATGGTTCTGGGGGTGAAACTTGGCTGAAAATCATTACAGGTTCTAGCGTTTGTCTCTGTCAAAGCGATGGAAGATTTGTCGGTTCCCGGGTGAGGGAAGAAACCGTATTTCGTCCCCAGTCGCCTGTACCTGAGGGCAGGCCCCCTGCCGCGGGACATTGCTGAGATGCGCACGCTTGCCCAGAGCAGCTGACCGGGTCTCTGCAGGCCTGGCTGCCTCCCCGGAATGTCAGAGGCTCGTCAGACTGCCCCGGCATGAAGTTCGTTGTTGACTTGATGGGCTCTTCCTGACAAACTCGGTTTTTAGGAAAAGCCTGTTCGTAGACGTGTGTGATTAATGCCTGTGGGCTGTGGTAGATGCGCTTGTATGGCTTTTCCTCCGCTCCCTGACGGTGGGTGTCGTGGGTGCCCAGGCCCTGGCAGAGCGCGAGGCTGAGGCTGGGTGGGCGTGCGGTGCCCTGGCCGTGGGCAGAGCAGGCGTGTGGCTGGGGAGGGGCGCGGGGACAGCAGCATACGGACGGGTCTGTGGGAGAGACAGAAAGCCCCCCGCCCCGCCCCGGGCAGGGGGCAGTAGCTGCAGGGGCCCTGCGGCGGGAGCACACCTGGTGGGTTGGAGGCCTGCTGCGAGCCAGTGGGCCCAGCCCCGCAGAAAGGGGATGTCAGGGATTTCTGGGACTGGGAAGAGCGCATTCTCTGTGACCTCACGTAATTGAAAAATCTCGATTTCCCAAACGTAAATGTGTTTTGTGTACGGAAGCAACACTTTTTTTTTTAGTGTGGTCTTAATAGATGTTCTGCATTTTCCAGGAATGCAGCTACCTTGTAAATGAAGGGAGGTTGTACTTTGTTCTTTGTAGAACCTTCCCAAGAGCTGCTCTCTGTTTCCAGGACAAGCTGAACTGCTCCGGGGACAGAGCCACCCTCGGGATCCGCCCCCCTGCCACATGCGGTAATGGCGTGCGTTCGCAGCATCTCTGGCAGGTGGTTCTGCGGAGTCTGCAGTGGTCATGCCCAGCATGGAAGCGCACGTTTGATAATGAGTCCCTGCCCTTTAGTTCCCTGTTTCGTGATAGGTGGAGCAACATGCTGGGTTTTTGGCAGTCCAGGGTGTGTGCTGGTTGTGCCAGCTGCTAGCTTCCTCTTGAGATGGCAGCATGGCGCTATGAAACCGTGGGGGTGTCGGCCCTGACTTTTGTGAAGACCCTAGCTTGGCATGTGGCGCGCAGGCATCTGACTTGACCAACAGGCCACAGGCTCTAGGACCTCCTGGCCACTGGGTGGTTTGCAGGAGGGCTCGGGGGCCTCCTGGCCGCTCTGGGTGAATTTGCAGGAGGGCTCGGGGGCCTCGTGGCCGCTCTGGGTGAATTTGCAGGAGGGCTCGGGGGCCTCGTGGCCGCTCTGGGTGAATTTGCAGGAGGGCTCGGGGGCCTCCTGGCCGCTCTGGGTGGCTTGCAGGAGGGCTTGGCACTCCCAGAGATTGTGGTTGCAGTTCGCTTTGTTTGGAGGGTGTGAGGGGCTCTAAGGGCCTGGCCCCCCAGAGCTCTGCCCCCGTGACTTTGTGGCCCCCGGGCTTCGGTGGGTGCTCTGAGGAGGCACAAGATCAGGTACAGCAGCTTCAGCACGTTTGTGGGGACCCCACTGTGAGAGACACCTCTGAGAATCGCCTAACTGTGGAGGTTATTGCTGGCCACTCTTGCATTCCCATTTCATGGTTGAGCCTTTGTGCCCAGCACCCTTCTCCTGCAGCCGCTCCTTTTGTGAGCGAGGTGACCTTCAGCCCCACTGTGTGGCGAGGGTGCACCCAGAAGGGTGGCGTGGAGAGGACTGTTTCCTGTGGAAGGTGACGTCCCAGCTTGAGTGGGCACCTCATGGAGAAGGCACTGGGGGTGTCGTTGGCGTGGGCTCTTGGGGTCCACTGGATGGGGTTGAGCTACAACTGTAGCCGGCTTGAGAAGGACCAGTCACGAACCCCGTGCAGATTGGTAAGGGTCAGTGGTAGGATGCTTCTTGGGATGATGGGCGGTTTAGAGCTGCGCATGGTTTCCCAGATGCCGCTTTGCCTTGTGGTCACAAAGTACTTAAAATCCCCCGTTTTCAGTTT